CTTGTAAAATGACAGGTGGTTTAAGCCATCTTAAGGTACCTTTCATTTTTTGGAAAAATAAAACATTAAAGAAATAGAAATGGGAATGTCTCAAAAATGTCTAGTGCAAATATCTGATTATAGTTTCTGTATTGTACATGTGTTTTTTTCTTTTCTTATTTATGTACGTTCACCTAATGTAATTGCTCTTGCCCTAAATTTGTTTGATGACACTTTAAGGCATAATGTGACATAATGTACCCAAATACTAATGTGGAGGTATATGTGTATTCATGTGGTGTGGGGTTATTATTTGGCTTGGGGCTACTGTTTTCAAACTAAACCCATTGCATGCCAACCAACCCTATTAGGTACTTTGTAAAATAAAACGGTGCTTTAAGCCCCCCCAAGGTACCTTTGCATTTTTTGGGAAATCACAAAACAAATAGACATATAGATGTCTCAAAATGCCTAAGGCAAATGTTTGATTACAGTTTCAGTATTGTACATGTGTTTGTTGATGTGTTATTTATGTATGTTCACCTAATGTAGTTGCTCTTGTCCTAGGATTTTTTTGATGCAACTTCAAGACATCATGTACCCAAATACTACTGTGGATATATATATATATATGTATTCATTTGGTGTGGGGTTATAATTTGGTTTGGGGTTACTGCATTGCAAACCAAAACCATTGCATGACAACCAACCTATGTTTGGGGTTTCTATTTTGGAAACACACAGCATTCAATCAAACACAAACCATGGTTGGTACTACATGAACCAGGCAACAATAACCTTCGTTTTTTATTTGATTTTTTAATGATAAAAACACTTACAAAGAATAGTAATCCATATTTGGGGTTACTTCTTTTAAAATGATCCCAACAATAGATCCCTATGTTGTTTTTATTTTTCAACCAGTAACATACATGAAACCTATTAAAAAAAAACATTTCTTGAAATGAAAAACTAATTTTTTGAAACAAACAAACATGGTTTTCAAGAAAATAAACACTATTTTTTTTTAAAAAAAAACACGTTTTCTCTATATTTTTTGTTTACTGCCCTGAAAGTTTGTTGAAAGTTTGTTGCAAACTTTCAGTCAAACTTTCAGGGGGGGTTGCAAGTTTGACTGAAACTTTCAATGCAAACTTGCAGGGCTGGATTGAAAGTTTCACTGCAAACTTTCAAGGCTGGATTGAAAGTTTAAAGAAACTTGCAGGGCTACACTGAAAGTTTCATGCAAACTTTCAGTGTAGCCCTGCAAGTTTCTTTAAACCTTCAATCCAGCCTTGAAAGTTTGCAGTGAAAGTTTCAGTCAAACTTGCAACCCCCCCTGAAAGTTTGACTGAAAGTTTGCAACAAACTTTCAACAAACTTTCAGGGCAGTAAACAAAAAATATAGAGAAAACGTGTTTTTTTTAAAAAAAAAATAGTGTTTATTTTCTTGAAAACCATGTTTGTTTGTTTCAAAAAATTAGTTTTTCATTTCAAGAAATGTTTTTTTTTTTAATAGGTTTCATGTATGTTACTGGTTGAAAAATAAAAACAACATAGGGATCTATTGTTGGGATCATTTTAAAAGAAGTAACCTCAAATATGGATTACTATTCTTTGTAAATGTTTTTATCATTAAAAAAACAACCAGTGGTTGTTTATTGTGCAAATTGTTTTGACATGTTACACCCACCATGTCTAAATGTGTTTTAAAAAATTACCCAAAACATGGTTTGGCTGTCATGCATTGGTTTTGGTTTGCAATGCAGTAACCCCAAACCAAATTATAACCCCACACCAAATGAATACACACATATATATATATATATCCACAGTAGTATTTGGGTACATTATGTATTGAAGTTGCATCAAAAAATCCTAGGACAAGAGCAACTACATTAGGTGAACATACATAAATAACACATCAACAAACACATGTACAATACTGAAACTGTAATCAAACATTTGCCTTAGGCATTTTGAGACATCTATATGTCTATTTGTTTTGTGATTTCCCAAAAAAATGAAAAGGTACCTTAAGGGGGCTTAAAGCACCTTTTTATTTTACAAAGTACCTAATAGGGTTGGTTGGCATGCAATGGGTTTTGTTTGAAAACAGTAGCCCCAAGCCAAATAATAACCCCACACCACATGAATACACATATACCTCCACATTAGTATGTGGGTACATTATGTCACATTATGCCTTAAAGTGTCATCAAAAAAACATAGGGCAAGAGCAATTACATTAGGTGAACATACATAAATAAGAAAAGAAAAAACACATGTACAATACAGAAACTATAATCAAATATTTTCATTACACATTTTTGGGGCATTCCCATTTTTATTTTTTGTTTTATTTTGCTAAAAATAAAAAAAGTTCCTTAAGGGGGGTTTTAAGCACCTTTGATTTTACAAAGTACCTAATAGGGTTGGTTGGCATGCAATGGGTTTGGTTTGCAAAACTGTAACCGAACCCCAAGCCAACCAATAACACCACACCAAATGAATACACATATATCTCTACATTAGTATTTGGGTACATGATGCCTTAAAGTTTCAAAAAAAACTAGGACAAGAGCAATTACATTAGGTGAACATACATAAATAAAACAAAAAGCCACATATACAATACTGAAACTGTAATATGTTTTTTTGGCCACATATACCACCACTGATTATTGATTGAATACATATATATATACATACTGTGTATATATATATACTATTTATTTGTTCATTTATTGTTTTTGTTATTCATTCTTTATATATATATGTTTTATTTTTCTATTTAGATATTTGTTTATCTTGTTAATGTTTTTGAACACGAACCACTTCTTAAAGTCGCAGCATATCTTTAAGTATTGTTTTCCATTATTGCATGCATAGGACAAATATTCATTTCACAAAAACATATTACCATCCAAAAATAAGAAAATCTCATGCAACACCTTTTGTGAATGATAAATAGCACCATGGTTGGTTGATACATGCACAAGGTCTTTGGTATGTGGGCTACTTTTTGGTGAAAGGTTGCAAAATATGTCAAGTGTACAAGTGCATGTACCATCCATGTAGCACACTGGTGCTCAAGATTGAAGTTACGTGTCACTTGTCGCCCCTGTTGGTAACCTCATGAAGAGGCCTGTCCACCTGATGCTATGCTTGCTTTTGCCTCCACCTGAACCAGCACCAGAATCTGTAGAACAGGCTTCTCCAGAAGAAGCTGCCCCATGAGCTGACTTAGATTCTTAGATACTGCAGCACCCAAGGCAAAGGCCAAAGCCAAGGTGAAAGCAAAATCTAAAGTCAAGGCAAAGGCAGCAGGTAAAGCCAAGGCTGCTGCCAGCAAAGCTCCTGGGGTTACTTCTTCGCCAATGAAAGCTCAAAAGGCAAAAGCCAAGAGCACAATGAAGAAAATCCTGACAAGACCTGATGCAGCTGAAGGCGAAAGCCAAGGCCAAAGCGAAGACTGTCAAGGAGATGGCAGCAGGATGGAAGAAGACCAGGGATGAGCCAGTTCCTGATGACCATGCAGAAGGAGAAGAGGAGGAGCCTAAAGAGGAGGATGCAACAGTTGCTGATGATGAGCATCGAAGCTACCCCAAGGTAAGGAAATGCGCCAGAATGATCAAAAGTGGCCAGGTGCCAGAAGATCTTCAGCAGCTCTATGAAGAGGGCTCCAAGAATTCTCCTCCCCAAGGTTATTTAAGAGTCAATTCATCAACAAAGTCTTTCAGCAGAACACCAGTGGCGAGTTTGCTTTTGCTCCTGGAAATACCCAGTGCGAGGTTTTCAAGAAGAACTTTGAGATTTGCACCAGCAAATCTCAGGTTACTGGGTTGCCTCACTCCATCATGTCGTGGAAAAATTCCAGTGAGACCAGCAAGCTTTGAATGAGCAGAAAGACGAGGTGATGTCTATCAGAAAGATGGTTACTATCATGTCAGGACAATAGCCACAGCCATTGAGAAGAAGCAGGGCAGTTCCATGGTCTTGCATGCTGGCCAAGCCAACATCACCAAGGATGAGTTATTCGCAGATGAGTCAATTCATTTCGAGCAGGCCCTGGAGCCAGCTTGGCACTGGAGCTAGTTGTGGTGGTAGTGGTAGTGGTAGTTGTGGTAGTGGTAGCAGTGCTTCCTCTACACCAGCTGTGGTTACTTCATCCTCAGCATTGCCAAAAGCGATTTGTGATGCTCCTGTGAAACTGAGCAGGGCAAGTGCTCCCAGGAGCGACTGGGCAGAGATTGTCAAAGACCGGCTGTCAAAATCTTTTTTTGACAAGAAAGACCAAAAACTCAATTATACTTTGATGGATGTCCTCACCGAGCTTTCAAAGACAGAATGTATGCTTGGGGTTACTTCATTGTAGCTTTGATGTTGTATAACATATCTTCAAAACATCCAATCAGATTTGATCTTCACAAATAAAAACTTTGATTTGCTCAAACAATTATAAGTTCAAACAATATAGTTTTTTGCACTTCCAGTAATCATGTAGGACTGACTTCACACAAAATCAAGAAACGTATTGTTAAAAAACCTTTCAAACAATTGATAATGTTCACTTTACTATGGTACAATGTTAAGAAAATGTCGAAATTCATTATCTTTTTTTCCATGAAAAAAAGGCAAAATTTCAAGGTATTTTTGTTTTAATCCTCAAAAATTACCTTGATAGGAACCTTTAGAAGTTAACTATGTAGTTAAAAAAATTAACTATTTTGTTTTCCTTAAAAATTACCTATTAGGTAGAAAATTGCCTCCAAAATCACTTTTACCTAGTTTGCTCCAAATAACCTTGCCTGACCTATAGGGAAGTTGATGCAGACATGGTCGAGGAGAAACTAGAGGAGGATGCGAGGAGGAGGACGAGGAGGACAGCTGGTCGAGGAGGAGGAGGAGGAGGCGGCGGGCAAGCGCTCTGATAAAATCTAACAACCCTCACCTGGCAGGTGGGGAATGATATGCGAATACGGTCTATTTTTTCAGCCAAAATCTGCACCAGACACCCGCCTCGCGCAATTTCAGGATGTCGCGCTTGTGTTCTCCCAAGCCTCCTTGAACGCCACTCATGCGCCTGCAGCAAGCAGCAAGCGGGCTATCCTCAACTTGTTCCGGACCATCACCCGGTGGATTTCATGAGGCCTCCTTCCAACATCTTTAGAGCTGTGTAATTACACGATTTTTTCTCCAGATTTATGGATTAAAGCTGGTGACATTGTGGCCGTTGCCCCCTCAATGTGGGGTGGTGTTTTTTGGTACGGAGGCATCTTCAACGTGGAGGGCTCTGCGACCGTTGCATCAAGGCATCAAGTACACCGGAGAAAACCGACACGCTAACAAAAATGGCAGCTCCCAAGACGGACATATCACCTTTCCGGATTCCAACCGAGTCTTTTGGATGTTCTATGCTGAGGGCGGTATACGAAGACCATTTCTCTAGTTGTCCGTTTTGCTGAGCAAGTAAAACAAAGTCAGGTTTATTCAAAATACACAAGTCAGTGAGATCTCTAGGTGCCAGAATGGGCTCCTGATTCTTCCCATTCCACATGTAAGATGCGTTGTGCAAAGGCACATAAAGGCGCCAACCAAAATCAAGCGAAATTGCTTGCAATCATCTCATATTTTCCATAATAAAAGATTAGGCGCAGGTAATACCCATATGCTCCATGTATGGAATATGTACTAACATCTGCCCTATCCTCACCCAGTCATGTAGGTAAATATACCATGGAGCATAATATGGAATTCATATACTTGAGGATATGCATCTACAAATGGCCAGCCAGGATCCGCCAAGGAGCAAATCCAAGGCCCCAAGGCGTCGTGAGGCTTCTGCGCTGCGCAGCTCGGCCTGATGATTGTCCAGTTGTCCAGTTCGCAAACTGTTAAATCTGTTAAATGACAGTTTGAGTGTGTGTGTATATATATATAGATATTTTTGTACGTACCTTACATGGAAAAACATGGAACATATAGTCTATAATGGGGATGTAATGGGGATGTAATGGGTCTGTACTGGGTCCCTATTTGGGTATGTTTATAATCGGTATCTAATTGGGTATGGGGGAATTCATACAGAAAAATGAGATTTAAGAAAGAATGCAAGCAACAATACTGGGAATGAAACCAAGCAGAGTAGTGATATCGTGGGTATGCAAACCATCCCCCCAAAGTGACATAGACCCTGCCATGGAAAACCATTCTTTCCTCAGGGTCGGACTCTTCATTGGGTTGATTCATAGTGTGCAGGAATGGCTGCCGAACTGTAGAGGTAAGAGGTAACTACACGAAATGCATGTGTTGTGTATTTATGTATGCATATACTGTAGATTTATTTGTATAAGTATTATGCATACACACACACATAATTATATATATATACTCCGCCCTAAAAGTAGATGGCTCAGAATCTTGAGTTGCGCCATCTATGTCAAAAAAATGGGGGATAGATGGCTCAACTCCCTTTAAAACAGGTCAGTTGAGCCATCTATGTCCCAAAAAATGACATATTTTTCCCGAGAGCGCCTGCGAAGGGTTCTTCGTAAAAAAAGCAGCCGTTGTAATGCATCTTCACACCTTCACATTTGCTGATCTACATCTTCACACCTTCACACCTGCTGATCTACATCTTCACACCCTCACATCTGCTGATCTACATCTTCACACCTTCACATCTGCTGATCTACATCTTCACACCCTCACATCTGCTGATCTGCATCTTCACACCCTCACATCTGCAGATCTACATCTTCACACCCTCACACCTGCTGGTCTACATCTTCACACCTTCACGCCTGCAGATCTACATCTTCACACCCTCACATCTGCTGATCTACATCATCACACCCTCACACCTGCAGATCTACATCTTCACACCCTCACATCTGCAGATCTACATCTTCACACCTTCACATCTGCAGATCTCCTCGCTCTTCTTTCTATCTCTCTCTTAAGGCGGGGGCGGTTTCGCCGGAGCGCCACGAAACGCATCCCTTTCGCACGAAATGGACGTTGGACGTCAAAAACTGAGTTAAAATTGCGATTTTAGTTAGTCGCGCGCAACCCTTTCGCACGAAATGGGCGTTGGACGTCAAAAACTGAGTTAAAATTGCGATTTTAGTTAGTCGCGCGCAACCCTTTCGCACGAAATGGACGTTGGACGTCAAAAACTGCGGTAAAATTGCGATTTTAGTTAGTCGCGCGCAACCCTTTCGCACGAAATGGACGTTGGACGTCAAAAACTGAGTTACAATTGCGATTTTAGTTAGTCGCGCGCAACCCTTTCGCACGCAATGGGCATTGGACGTCAAAAACTGATGTAAAATTGCGATTTTACTTGGCCCATCGCAACCCTTTCGCACGAAATGGACGTTGAACGTCAAAAACTGAAGTAAAATTGCGATTTCACGGGTCCGGTCTCTGTGTGTGTGAAAGTGTTTGTGTGTAAAAGCTTCTGTGTTTAAAAGCTTCTGTGTGTAAAAGTGTCTGTGTGTAAAATGGTCTGTGTGTAAAAGTGTCTGTGTGTAAAAGCTTCTGTGTGTAAAAGTGTCTGTGTGTAAAATGGTCTGTGTGTAAAAGTGTCTGTGTGTAAAAGCTTCTGTGTGTAAAAGCTTCTGTGTGTAAAAGCGTCTGTGTGTAAAAGCCTCTGTGTGTAAAATGGTCTGTGTGTAAAAGTGTCTGTGTGTAAAATGGTCTGTGTGTAAAGGAGTCTGTGTGCAAAAGCGTCTGTGTGTAAAAGTGTCTGTGTGTAAAAGCGTCTGTGTGTAAAGGAGTCTGTGTGTAAAAGCTTCCGTGTATAAAAGCTTCTGTGTTTAAAAGCTTCTGTGTGTAAAAGTGTCTGCGTGTAAAATGGTCTGTGTGTAAAAGCATCTGTGTGTAAAGGAGTCTGTGTGTAAAAGCGTCTGTGTGTAAAAGAGTCTGTGTGCAAAAGCGTCTGTGTGTAAAAGCTTCTGTGTGTAAAAGCTTCTGTGTTTAAAAGCTTCTGTGTGTAAAAGTGTCTGTGTGCAAAATGGTCTGTGTGTAAAAGTGTCTGTGTGTAAAATGGTCTGTGTGCAAAGGGGTCTGTGTGTAAAAGCGTCTGTGTGTAAAGGAGTCTGTGTGTAAAAGCCTCTGTGTGTAAAATGGTCTGTGTGTAAAAGCTTCTGTGTTTAAAAGCTTCTGTGTGTAAAAGTGTCCGTGTGTAAAAGCGTCTGTGTGTAAAAGTTTCCGTGCGTGTAAAAGCGTCTGTGTGTAAAAGTGTCTGTGTGTAAAAGCTGCTGGCATATTTTGGTTAGGTTGGTTGATGGACGTCGGGAGATATGAGGGAGTTGCGCCATCTACGGGAGCATTCCCAGCCTGATTTTGGCGAATGAGTTGGAGTTGCGCCATCTATGTCCCAAAAAGGCAGCTTGATGTTGAGAAAAAAGTATGGAGGCAAAACCACCAGGAAAGACATCAGAGCTATCCCAAGACGGGATGTTTTGCCTCCTGTTTTGGGACAATCCTGATGTCTTGGGATAGCTCTGATGGGTTCATAAACCACCCCGGTGAAAACGCTGCTCGCTTTCGTTTTCCACCAACGCGCGCGCGTTGGCGCAAAACGCTCACCCCGACTCGTTGCATTGGGATCACCGCCCCGGGGAGACACAACGGGGAGACACAACGGGGAGACACAACGGGGACACACAACGGGAAAATGATGCAAAATGAAAAATGTCAATTTTATAGTTTGTAAACCAGGAAAGCTACTTTTGTAACATATTGAAATGTTAAAATTGTGCAGATGTGCTGAATAATTTGAGAACAATATTTCTATCCAAAATTCTGTCCACAACCAATGTTAGAACATTCAGTGGATAATTTTCAAGATATTGCAATGATTCTTTACTGCATTTTGTTTTAAATATCTTTGTCAAAATATGTTGAAAATGAGATTTCTATCAATAAATTCTGCCCACAATCAGTTTTAAACCATTCAGTGGTTCATTTTCAAGGTATCGCAATGACATTTTAAACGATTTGAATGCGATTTAAGGGACATAGATGGCGCAACTCATTTTTTAACCCACCGATTTTTTTCTGGCGTTTGAATGAGATTTAAGGGACATAGATGGCGCAACTCATGTTCAAGGTATTGCAATGATTTTTTTGAAGATGCGATTTAAGGAATAGATGGTGCAACTCATTTTTGAACCCATCGAAAAAGAAATTTCTGGCGTTTGAATGGGATTTAAGGGACATAGATGGCGCAACTCATTTTTAGGATAAAAAATCTAGGGGAATTATATATATATGTATAATATATTTACAATACAAACATGTGCAATCTACAGTATAAACAAACAAAAATGATCGGAAATGTAGTAAAAATAGTTAACAATATATACCCTTATGTCCATCTACAGTAGGGCGTTTTTTTTCTTCAACTGGCGGAACTCATTCTATGTTCCAGCCAAAATAGCGCCGTTTTCTTTCTCACCCCGCGGTGCCATCTTATGGGTATTTTGGTTTTTGAGTTGAGCCATCTACTTTTAGGTCAGTGTATATATTCATAAGCATTACAGTATGTATATCAGATACGCATGTGTATATATATATATGTATATATACTGTATATATGTATATATAATTATATACATTAATATGTAAATCTGCTATGAATATATATTGCATGCATGCACAATGCTAACTAAATAGTACATACGACGAGCAGGAATGAACAATAGACATTTAACATGTGCGAAGGTGAAGGTAATGAATGCAAATAACACCACCCCTCTGGGTAACCAACACAAACGTGGAAGATACGCTTTGTTCATCAGAGATTCATCAAACATGGTCTACAGACAAGTGTGTGTACATGTTGCGCTTCCAGGTTGGACACCCAGAATCCGGGCCCGCAGCTGAAACAATTCGGTGCTCATGCTAGTCATACACGTCCAACAAGTCGGCATTGAACCGAAAAACTGAGACTTTGCAGGTATTCCAAATCCACCATTTGTAGATTAATTTTTATTTGGAAACATGAGGGCTATCTCGGATTATCACGTTTTTGATGTTTCATCCGTCCATACCTAACTATCATTAGGTACCTACCCACCAGGCGAAGCTATCGGCCACACATGCGGCCTGCTGTTCCACAGCTCCAATCTTCTCGAACGCCTCTTGCCTTGGAGAATGGGTTCCAAAAAGAAGGGACATGTGGAATAAAGCTAGCAAAGTGGCAGAAAAAGAAAAAAGCACATCTAGTTTGCCCATAAATATATAATATATTTAATATATATATGTATGTATATATCAATCAATGCCCGTGAGCAAAACATGACATCCAGAATTACAAATCATCTATATAGATATGTGTCAGTATGTGTGTGTGTATATGTATATACCAACACAACAATGATTAAACATGTCTAACTAGTTCAAACTCCTATGAGGACGCCACACGACATACCCTGAGGTCATCAAGTCATCAGTTTGTTCGATCTCGTTGGGGATCATTATGCTTCTATGATGGATCATTCTAATCATCAAAAAACTGTGTACTGGCATATGGAGATACACAGCCAAATGCTAAGCAGCAGTCTGGTGTTTAGTTTATATTGTTTGCGTATGTTTGCGTATTTTTTGGGAGGAACATCTTGGCTTTGCATGTCAATCAAACAAATCTCAGCTCATCACTGAGCGCAACTGTGGGAGGACCAACATTGCCGTGCCCTGCTAGTGAAGTTGTAACGCTTTGCAAACCATGGAAGCACTTGGCCCTTAGAAGGTTTTGTTCTGCCCATTCATTTCTGCGTTGAGCTCTGCCGCTGTTTCTGGCGGATGTCGTTCTTCAGGCGTGCTTCAGTATCAGCCACGTTCCTGATCCACGCATCCAACCGTTCATTTCATCATGACACCCTATAAGATAAACACATTCCAAATAAACCATGTGAATTTGAAGACGAAACAATGCAAGCAACTACTCAACCAATCAACCATTGGACATACCTTAAAATGTATATTGCTTGGTGTTGCAACCTTGAAAAAAATGCTCATCAATAGGGATCATAAAACTGCCAACCACCTCTGGACATCCTGGACTTTCTGGAATCGTGACTTCGGGCCATCCTGGATCAATCATGCGATTTTCCCATAGATATATCCGCTGGTAATTCAACATAGCTATGGAAGCCATGGCCCGTCTAGTTCGACGATTTCCCGTCTTTTAAAGTGGTGGCGATGTTCCAACAAACTGTCAAATTGCCAGAGGATATCTCCTATTGGTAGATGATGTGTTCCATTGTTTTCCTATAAAAAGCCCCAAAAAGATAGATGTTAGCATCCTACTAACATCGTGATAACACATGATGTTGTTTCATATTTGTCCATATGTTCTCATCATGTTTCTGTATCTTTTGGGTGGTGTCCTATTGCAAAAGACCACATAAAGACCCATATAAGACCCGTCACTGACCGGCCGTATCCGGCCGTCCTCTCCAGGTCGCTACGGACCACGGCCACTTCGTTGAAGCAATCGCTCAGGGAGTTCCTGGGGCCATGGGAGTTCCATATGGGGAGCTGGTTGGTGGTTGACCTACCCCCTGAAAAAAAAGGAGTTCGATGAGTTCGTCAGATTGGATCATCCCAACTATTGGGGAACATAAAAAATGTTCCAAAGCACCAACCAGGGAGAGTTTTCGCATCACAAAATCTGATGTTAGGCTGTTGTGGGTATGATAGATTATGAGCGAGATATTTCGTGAAAATAGTGTGATGTTATGTGGGAAGTGAACAAACAATATGTGAGGTGGTCTTGACTGGAAACAAGTCCATGGTTCGCCAAGGAACTGAGTGGTATGCAAGGACTCCTGGGTGGCTGCCAGGTCCTTGTTCGTGAAATCCTTGGCGCAAACGATTCAATCAGAGGCCGCTGGGAAAGTCATGACATTCGGAATTCGGTGGTCCTGTTCATTGACGGAGTCTCTGTTTTGCGGATGAACTCCCCGATCTGTGGCTGGCTACGGCTGGTTAAACCCCACTATCTACATATATATATATTGTTCTTATAGTCAAAATAAATATCACGCGCACACACACACATTTCCTTCATGTCACATTGACACATGCAGAGATCACACCTGTTTTTGCCGGCAAAAAAGTCATGCTCATATTTCAACATTTAGTCCAACATCTGAAATCTTGGCTGGTAGAATCGCCACATTTGCATAAAACCATCTAACCACAACTTTGCGCGGCTCTACTGCCATCCAGTGTGGCTTCGTTAAACACACTTAACATTGAAGTTAACATGGCATTTTTTTTGGGATGATCATATATCGAAACAGAGAATCCATTGGTCAACGCCAGCTTCACCCCAACCGAGGCCAACCGAGGTCCAAGAGGCAATGCGGCCATTCAAGGCGTTCACCGCCTGGTCCGTGTCGCTGGTGATCTTCGCCTTGGACTCCTGGAGATATGTCGAGATCGCTGGTGCCCTGTTGTGATGATGCCGCAATAAAAATGACCATGATGATAAACTCATGTTGTAAACTACTGAATTTGTATTGAATGTCTAGTTACTCTCCGATAATTTAAGATAGCTATAGAGTGTGTATATATATATGCATAATATATATATATAATCATATAGATGGCCCATTTAGCTGGATAATTTACCACACGTCATGATTTTCCAGAGTGAACTCTTAGTAAATTAGTTTTGCAGAGGATATCCAACATAACCAAAATCTGTAGAGTAGTTTTGCACCTGTGTTACGATATGTTACGATTGAAAGAGAAGTGTTGACCCGTTCAACCTGTTCATACCTGTTCCAAAAAGATGCGAAATTCCACCCTTTCACCTTTCGGGAGAAAACAAACTTGCGTTTTCCTGTGTATAGTTCGAAACTCGTGGAAATGTTCGGATGTGTCATGTTTTCTTCATGCTTCTTCTCGTGGTGTTGCTCTGTTTTGACCTGTAGCTGCCAAAAAAATGCTGGTGATCTTCACTCATCAAAACAACTCATCATCTCAGAGTCATCCCAACAAATCATCCCACGTATGGTTGGAAAATGTTGAAAAACAATGAAAAACAATCAATAACAGAAAGCCGCAGCCTGGTGACTTTCCGGTTCGGAGTCCTCCAGATTGGTCTCCACTGCCGTGATGTCATGGCGCACCGTAGCAAGGATCTCGTCCACCTGATACCAACAAAAATGGTGATGTCACCGATGTCACCAAGAAAAGAGTGGGATTTAACGCTTGGGATTAAATGCTTGGGATTTAACTTGTGGGTTAACCTATGAAAACTGGTAGTTGACAAAGAAAAATCCGGACTTCAGCAACAAACATAGCGATTTGACCAACAAAATTGGAATGACACCAGCAAAAAATGGGATTGCAGCAACAAACATATAGGGATTTAACCAACCACATTGAGTGGGTTGGACAGCATTAATGGGATTCAAGATGATTTAACGAAAGTGAAAAACCAAGTGAGAACTAAGGGAAGTAATAGGGATTTAAGCAACAAAAATCACCGTGGCAACTATGAGGAATTTACAGTAGGGAAACTATACATGTTTTATTAAATTTCATTGCAATAAACATCCCCAATGACTGAGCGATGGGTAGAATACTAGTTTATATCAAGCCTCCACAACTGGAAGTTACCTTAGTTTTCAGGAGGTCAACCGGCACCCCTCCATATTTTTCGAATGCTAAATTGAGCAGTGTTCAAAATATCCTGGTCGGGTAAGAACGGGATTCTCAGTGGATGCATGAGCATCCGCAATATATCTCAAGGGTTTCTGGTGGTGTTAAAAATGAATGGGGGGGATTAACTTTAGTTACACACACACGCGTATCCTCACGAGAATCCCATTAAATAACCATGTGTCATGGTTAAAGCCAATCTTAAACCACAATCTCCCCATGCGTTCATCGCTAAAACACATTAACACATATTAAAACATGTGAAAACCACCGGCAAACCATTATTAAATCAACTTATATAAATCATACTTTGTCAAATATTGCGCGATATCCCCAGTGAACCACAGGTTTTCATGGCTAAACCGAAAAACCACCGGTTTTACACCGCACCTTGCGGCGTCGTGCGTCCACATCCAGGCGCAAGGAACTCACCATGTCGCGGACCGTCTTTACGGCAGCATCCAGGTCGTCGTTGGCTTCCTGTACGGCTGGTGCCCGGTGCCCCAGCCCGGCCATACAAGGGGGTGCCTCCCCCAGGTATAAGTTGGCTTAGAAACCATAGTTGATATGCTAGTATCTACTGTAAACCCTAGCTATTGGAGTTATCAACGAAGTTAGCTAACTATGGGGCACCACCTTGTTAGTGGTTCCAAAATGTTGCAGATGTCAAATATCTGTAATTCCCAAACTAAAGCAAGATTTCTTGGGGGTGTTTCATATGGGGAAAAGGACTTGGCTTGTTGGTTGTTGGTGGTGTATAAGCCCAGGTATAGTTTAAAAATCACGATATGGTTGCCCTAGGTTACTCACATAATTGTTAGCTACCTATGGGGCACCATCTTGTGGAAGTGGTTCCATTGGAGGGATTTTAGCAAGAAACATATGGAGGGAATGGATGAAAATGAAAACTGTCACGCAAAAATACCGGGACAATGTGTTTGGTTGGATGAAGGGAACATGTTATTGGAAACCATGTGTTCTTTACATGATATATGGAAGCAAACTCTGGGAAAAAATACCGAAAGGTGAAGGTATGGGAACAATGTATCAAAGCCACACATAACAGTTCGTGACCGGGGAATATGAGATGATGCGTGTCTGTGTACATATCTATCTATCTATCTACCTACCTGTCTATCTATCTACCTACCATTCTATCTATCTATCTATCTATCCATCCATCCATCCATCCATCCATCCATCTGTCATCATCTATCCATCTATCCATCTATCCATTGATCCATCTATCCATCTATCCATGAGTTTGAGGCGTTTTGCCTACATCATCTTGGAACGATCCATGTTCCCAGATGCGGGTCAGCTGGACGCTGGAATTTGTTGGTTAAGGGATGGTTAAGGGATGCTTAAGGCTATGAAGGGTTTAGGGTGATCAAGTTCTTGCAGTCCTTCCATGCCACATTGTCCACTTTGGTGTCCAACTTGGTGTTCATCTCATTCTTCCTGGTGGGTCCCGAGACCCCCCGAGCCCAGGTCATCTGACCAGAATCTGCATTTTCTCAACCAAAGACCTACATCAAGGCCCAAAACATGGAAAGGGTCCCACCGTAAGGATTCTATAGAATTCTAGTCATCGAAATCTGCCACAGGAGGTATTATGACTCATCTCCGACTCATCTCCGGGGAAAAGGGGGAAGCCATCACCGATTTCGTCAAGTGGCAGGTTGATGATGTCTTCGGTCAAGTTCTCCTCCTTCTCTTGCATCTGCTGCAACGTGTTGGACCTTGTGGAAGACAAGTGGAACCAACAGTCCCATGATACATCATGATACCAAAACGTATGCATATATATATATAGATGGATAGATGGATAGATGGATGGATGGATAGATGGATGAATAGATGGATGGGATTGGATTGGATTGGATTGGATTGGATTGGATTGGATTGGATTGATAGATTAGATAGTCTAGATAGTCTAGATAGTCTAGATAGTTTAAATAGTCTAGATAGTCTAGATAGTCTAGATAGTCTAGATAGGCTAGATAGTCTAGATAGTCTAGATAGTCTAGATAGATTAGCACATATTGTAGATATGTGTAAATAGATAGATAAACGAATAAGGATAGATCGAGATAGAGATATACTTAAATAAATACACATGTGCAAGCATCATGACACCTATATATATATATATGCATACATGCACAACATATTTATATATATATATATATTTGTATATATATATGTATATATATATATGCATAATTGCATATACAACAAATGTAGATGTATATATACATATAATATCATGAGTTTAATATCCAGTTATGAGTAACTTTCCCTGGATGTTTGAATGTGGACAAATCGAGCGACACATCCTCCATCCAGCTGTCGTGGTTCTTCAGGGCCTCTTGAATGTCACCTTAAGGGGCGATGGTAAACACCAGCATTTTCATGGGAACATATACAGTAAACCTACAGAACACGATGAAAATCCATGGCTGTTTCCCATTGGGGAATGAACTGCTTTCATGGTGAATCTTCCACGATTAGAGGGTATCAGACATCAGAAGTGAAATATCTGGGTTTGTCCTAAAATTATGGTAGTTTTAAAACCAGGGATCTTCCCCATCATTTTGTTCAGTCAACAATCATATCTGCGACTATGACTATACCATGTATTTATTATATATATATGCACCATTTCTCTTTCCCAAACCTCGACCATCCGATTCTGTAGGCAAAACGCGGCGCAAGAAAACACCCATGCTGTTCCCAAAACTCCGACAAACCACGGCCATTATATATATACAGTGACTCCCCCGCACAAAAGGCAGGGAAGTTGAATCCTACTATATAAAATGGTGATACATTATGAATTATGATTGTTTGGTCTTTTTGGTAGGGTTACGCGCAAACCCTCCAGTTCGCCCACACAACTTCTTAGGGATTTATAAATTCCGACCCCCGTTACATTTTACATTCAATTGGGAAGATCAACAAGGGGATTAGGAATATAAATTCCCACCCCCGTTACATTTTACATTCAATTGGGAAGATCAACATGGGTATTAGGAATATAAATTCCCACCCCCGTTAAACTTTACATTCAATTGGGAAGATCAACAGGGGGATTATATTCCCCGTTAAACTTTACATTCAATTGGGAAGATCAACAAGGGGATTAGGAATTGTAATGATGAAAATGCAGATGATGATGATGATGATGATGATTATGGTGATGATGATGTTGATGATGATGTTGATGATGTTGTTGTTGTTGTTGTTGTTGTAACATTCAACGCACAGGTAGCTAAGCTGTGCGTTGCAAGATGAAAGCCATGATCATGGACATGTGCATTTTGTCCCACAAAACACAATGTTTTTGATGTTCGGACATGTCGTTGGCGTCGGCGCGGGCAAACTGAGGGGTTTGCCCGTAGGGTTACTATATATACTAAACTGATGGATATGTATATAATTGTATATATAGTAACTATGCCATCACATATATGCCTATGAATGTCATTTACTATATTTACTATCATATGCCTATGCCTATGACATCCATCAGCTGCAAGCCATTACATCCACCAAGGCACCGATGTCCAAGCGCATCGTGGAAATCTCCGCCGTCATTGTGGCCTTGCTGAGCCGGCCCCTTGCCCAACTGAAACCTCCATTGAAATATTGGAATGAGTGATTTATATTGGGATATCCACGAATTACTCGGTTCCCCCATTAAAGTCCACTACTAATGGTTTTGATAGATGATTTTCCCATGTAAACCTCCATTTAGTTCGAGAATTTCCCAGTCAGCAATGTTTGATTGCCAGCAGGTACCCGTCCCCAACCTGGGGTTTGATGGATAATTTCATGATGGAATTCATTTCATCCCCAATTGGATCACCTCATTGGATCTTTTCATTTGGGATGCACATGGGGTGTATTACTATTAGAGGATGAGATTATTAGGATGATATACATACATATAGATATATATATATACATTATAAGTTAATAAGGATGATGTAAATAACTGCCGGGGACACTTGTTGTGATTGGGATCCGTTGGAGTCATGTGTCACCCACAGCTTTCTGTCTGAGCCTCATTGAAGGCTTGGTGGTTCGGGGCGGTAACACATGGACGGAAATCACAGATGTTATAGCCTAGGTTTCAGATCCAAACAAAGAAGAGGATAATGTGGCAAACCCAATAATAAACCATGCCCAATAGAGATTGATTATTGGGCATACCGTATTCAGTATTACCCCTATTTGGGATGATGTAAGATGAACCCCAAATGGTTGGTGAATGGTTTGTTTGTGATTGGGTTTACATTAGATAACACCTTGGGATGCTAACCTCTGTCTCTGTACCATTTCTTGGGGCATTTGATTTGAACATGCTTGAACCCTTGAGCCCACATACCCCCACATACCATACCCATGTTTGTTGATTTGTTGACCATGCCATATCAGCATGTTCATGAGTTGCAGTGTCCCCCATGTTCATTAGCGACATCCATGTACAGCGAAAAATTCTATACGAACCTCATCTGGTTGCCGCTGATATCCAGTCCCCTCTCGTTTCAAACGTGGCAATACAATTATCATGTTTGCGCACAAATTACCATTAAACTGATATTTGGATGTGTTATTGTCATTGTCAGCTTGTATCGCCAAAGGGTATCTTATATCCGCATTTCAGTTGGTTCAGTCTCCACATCTTCTGGTTAGCCACTTTTACCTGCTGGCAAAAATAAAGTGATTTGTATTGATACCCCCCTCTTTCCGCTTGTGAAACCACGTCATGCCATTGCATTTTCATCAAATGGTTCGTTCTATCACCCCCATAAATCCAGCATATCCCATCTCTCTTTCTCTCTCTCTCTCTCTCAATCTCTCTCTCTCTCTCCCTCTCCCTCTCTCCATCGCCTTCTCCATCAGTTCAGCAGAGCTAAACGGAGTAACAACTCCCCACAATTTGTATATCCCCATGTTTGGTCCATAAGTTTTCCAGTTTTCCACCCGAGGTCAATAATCACTGGTTGGTGGTGTACCTACCCCTTTTTTTCCTTTCCTGCTGCTGTGCCGTGTTGGCACTTGGGTAGATCCTGCAAAATGCATGTGCACATCGGGCAGTTCAGTTCCCGTGGTAATCCGGCTGGACAATGTCGAAGTCCATGAACTGCTGCACTGTGTACACATCGAATTCATTGGGCAATGCGCCTACAACTGTCTCGGGGTCCAATTCCATGGCAAAGTCATGCATTGCACGGCCCAGTACCTCGTTCATGAGGGCTGGGTAAATTTTGGCTTTAGCCGTTTGGAAGGACCCATCTTCTTGCTTCCCAATCAGCGCCTGGTGCGCTCCAGCTGGGTGATGGCAACGGCCTGAGTTGCCTAGCTGGAGGAGTCGGTGTCGAACAGCTGGGAGGCGGACAAGAAGAAGTGTGGTCGGCTTGCGCCCTGCCGCGCCGCAGACACACTGGTCAAATGACACTATGCTGACACATCGGAGCCGTTTCATCAACCGTACTGCCTTCAAGCTCCATATGCTTGTGAGGCTGCGGCTGGTTTCCCAGGTGGGAAATTGGGGATGTTCGATGAAGCCGCTGTACCCCAGGATCGACATCAGGAGCAACATTTCCAGGAGAAAGCGCAGCAGGCGATCGCCAATGTGAATCTGTTGCCACTCTTTCCAAGTGAGCCCCGGGATGCCTTGAGGCTCCTGGGCCGATCTGACAGGTCTTGGGCCGAGACCATCCAACTGTCTCGCAACAGTATATGTTTCACAAGGGGGGCCGCCCCCAATAGAGACCAGTTGTCCCGACTGTGCGCGGGCTTTCCACCAGCATAGCGATTTGTGTGTGGCAAGGTCGGCGTGCTGCCGTTGCATGCATAAATCCACTGACAGCACAAACAGCTGTGTTGCATGGGCAAGGCTTCGTTGTTCCACAATCTGGTGGATGTCCTTGTCACGGATGTCACGGCGGAACCCTGAGAAGAAATGCACAACTACCAGGGCACGGATGTGCAACCTGGCAGCTTCCCTTGCAAGGCCGCCAGTCTGGAATGCCCCCCCTCCCTCGTCGATACCTTGGGGTGAGTGCAGCACAAAGGCAGGAAGATCGGAGGTTTGCCACCACAGGCCGTTGTTGGTGTTCGGGGCCCGTGTTACCTTGTGTCCTTGCAACTGATGATAGGCCATTGCGTCGGTGGGCCGGCGGGCCAGCATCTCTGCAAACATCTTGGCAGCAGCGGGATGTCCATGAGGTGGGAGTGTGGGTCCACATGTTTTGACCGCAGGCACAAACGCTTTTGTCGCCCACCACCCTTGTTTCCTCAAGGCTGCTTCTGCTTGTTTGTCTTCCTGGTCCAACTGGGCCACATCAGCTTCCGGCAAGGGCGGCCAACAGGCCTGGATCACTTCATAGCATTTCTGGTTGTGTTCCAAATGGATGGCAAGGCGGCTACGTGTATGGAACCACTGTCCACACACCTGGCAGGTGGTGCCGACTGCAAAGTACCGGACCTTTTTGCGGTATCCATGGTCTCTGCTGGCATGCATTGCTAACGCACGCTTGCTGGCAAATAATTACTTTGGTGCACAGGTCACATTGCCACCGTTCATCTGTGGCATATGGCACAGGATCTTCTGGAAGGGTAGCTCCGGCTTGCTGCAAAGTGGCTTCAAAATTGTGCTGCCAGATGGCATGTTCCGCTTGGGCTGAATTGTAGTGCAGGGCCAGGCGGCCGGTTTTGCGGACCCGTCCTTTCCAGTGAGCATCAAGGCAAATGTGTTGGATCCATGCCTCATGGGACGTGCTGGCAGGGAGCAGGTGTGGCTTGTCATAGTGCAGTTGCATCCATTGGCAAGAGTCCTGAAAGGCGGCAAGCCATGAGCAGGGGCCGTTGTCGGCCAACAACAGCCTCCATGTAATGGCCGGGCATCTCTGGAATAGCCTCTTGGCGAACCGGAGGCGGTTGAGATGAACTTGTTGGGGCAGGGGCAGCATCCCACACCATGCACACAGGGTGTCGGTGGTGTGACGGAACTTGCGTTGAGGGGCCAACACACCCTTCATCAGCAGGGCAATGGGCCCACGCATGTAGTTGTTCCATCGCTCAAGTTCCTCCTTTCTGGCTCCTGCCCAGGTGTGCACATTGTACAGCATCTTGGAGATGACAAGGGCCTGGAACACCCTTACCTTGGTCGCAAGGGATAGGGGCCTTCTGAAAAATGGGCGTGCTAACTGGCCCCATTGTTGCCGTGCCGCACTGGCACGTGCGAGGACTTCCCTGGCGTGCCGGTGCTTGGTTTGTGTCCATGTTCCCAGATGCTTGTATGCATGGCATATGTGGAGCTTGTATTGTCGGCCCTGGTGTTCCCAAATGAGCTGGTTGCCCTGCTCGTACAGAGACTGTTTGGTTGCTTTGGCCCCTTTTCCAACAACATTCCAAAGAAGCTCCGTCTTACCTCTGTTGAAGTTGACCTGCAACCCTCTGGATCGCGCAGCTGCATCAAAAGAGGTGACTAGGGCAATGATGACTTCCTCAATGCGTTGGTTGGTTGTGGCATGAACGAGCAGGGCACAATCGTCTACGAAAGTTACATCAATGTAACCCTCTGCAGGAAGGGGGTCTGCAGTACCAAAGTCTTGGATGGGAGCCTCATTGCCGAGCCATGGGGTGGTGCAACACTCAGCCATGCATGTGCGGAAACTGGTCAACAGACTTGTCATGCACATGTTGAAGAGCACGTCCGCCACAGGGTCACCTGGTCTCGTGCCCCGTGTCGTGTGGCAAGGGTCGTTCAACCCAGGGATCGTGAAAAACGTGTTGGTCATCATATCATGGAGCATTTTTTGGAGATGGTTGGACAAACCCTGGGTCACGCATTCTGTTTCGGCTGCAGCCAGGAGTTCCGCAATGTCTTGGAGTGGAATGCCCAGTGTTTCCATTGCCTGCATAAATGCCTGGTTCTTGCAAGGCAACGACGTGAAGGTTTGGCGTATTACAGTGTAAAAGGCAGCTCTGAGGTCGATGTAAAGAATTGCCGATGGAATGGCATTTGCCGTTGTCCATGCCTTCTGGCATTGGATCACATGGTGGGCAACATCTACACCCACGCCCTTACGGCCACCGCACTGTAACTGGTCTGCCTTCCTCTCCCAGATGGCCACTAAATGCTGCCTGACAAACTGGTGATACAATTTTGTGGAATAGTTCGACACAAATATGCTGCGGTAGGCTGATGGCAGATCCGGTGACTCCTTACCTTTCCAGAGTGGAATCAATGTGCCACCCTTCCATAGCAGGGGTTCACGGGCAGCGGCAGCTGCTTTGGCAAAAATGATCGTGAGGTGTCTGGCCATGACCTCACCCCCTGCCTTGAGGAGCGCAGGTGGGATTTGGTTGGGCCCTGGGACCTTGTCACGTTTCAACTTGGAAATAAGGCATTGCACCTGCCATACTGTGGGGAAGGCGGCAGGGTCGATGTCCTGTACGCCAACCTGGTGGGACTCGGAGAGGTCCCGGTGGCACTGCTGCAACTGTGGCCAACTGCAGGGCACACCAGCTTCGACGGCTGCAAATTGGGTCATCCAAATGTGCTGTTGCTCGGTGTATGTAGCGGCCAG